CATAAAATCCTCTATTCTGATAATTATTCTGTTAATGTTCTAGGGTCTTGAAAGTTTGCATGTGGCCACTGAAGAAGCAACTCCTGGTCTCTTCTTACACAGACAGGAGAATGAAGAAAACAAAAGACCTAAATAGCTAATGGACCAAATGAGCCACAATCTCCTCAAATCGAAGACCAGAAGAACTAAAACATTTCTAGCTACCACAACTGACCATTCTGACCAGGATCACAATGTAATAGCTCAGTTAGAATGGGTAAAAATGTAGACTAAAGTTAAAAACAAAACAAACTTACTGTTCTGAAGGAAATTGGAGGAACCATTGAGGCCAAGATAACCTAATTTGAAACTGAAGATACTTCCAGACACCACTATTCAACCAATTAATACCCAAACCCAAACCCATTGCTTGTGCACACCTATTTTGAGTCATGGTGACCTTCTATTAAGTTTCCAAGGCTGTAATATTTTAACAGGAGGAGAGACTGTCCATCTTTCTCCTACAAAGTGATTTTGGATTCAATGCTGACCTTAAAGTTGGCAGCAAACCATGTAATGCAGTATGCCAATAGGAATCTTTCCAATTGTATTCAGATGGGGAGGGCTTAAAGCACGGGTGCAAAAGATCAAAGACTACAGTATGGATTACGTCTCAACGTCAAGAAAAAGCAAAAATCCTCTCTTTGAGTCAAGAGGTAACAACATGACAGATTGAGAAATTAAAGAAACTGTCAATAATTTCATCTTACTTTGATCCACAATCCAAATAAATAAATAAACCTTCGTACTTATTGTTAAGTGCTGTCGGGTGGGGTACAATTCAGTGATGTTCTATAACTGCCATTGTTTCTCTAATGTCCACTGAGTTTCCAAAAGCCTATCATTAAAGATGTGGATGTCAATCCTGCTTCCAAACCTGTCTTAATCTGGGAGCTATACCAAACCCTGTCCACCATGGTAACCATTATGGCATTTGACACCAATGTTGAGTTATGATAGCAACTCCAAGTTATCTCAGTACAGCAAACTGACATACCAGTGCCATACCACTTGGAACTATGGTACTAGTAGTTAGGAAATCAAGACAAGTTGCACTGAGAAAGGAGAAAGTGTGCAGTCAGAGACCTCTTAAAAGTTCTGAAAAGCAAAGGATACTAGTTTAAGTATGATGGTATCAGGCCATGGTATTCTCAATTAGTTACTATGCATCTGAGAACTGGATAGTGAATAAAGACGGGAGAAAAAACTGATGATTTTGAGTTGTGATGCTGGAGCACTAAATATCCTGTGGTCTGCCAAGAGAAGAAACAAATATGTCTTGGGAAAAGTGCAACCAAGATGTTCCTTAAGTGGGAAGGATGGTAAAACTCTGTCTCACATACTTTGAGCATGTTGTTAGGAGAGGCCAGTCCTTGGAAAAAGACATCATACTCAGAAATACGGAGAGTCACCAAAGTAACAGAAGATTCTCAATGAAATGGACTGACAGAGTGACTCTACCAATGGCTCTAACGGAGACAATGAAGATGGCACAAGATAGGACAGGGTTCAGATCTGATGTTCATAAAGTCATTATGAACAATCTCAGCAGACAAATATTCAATTTGTATGCTGAACAAATCATTCGAGAGGCTGAATATTAAGAAGAGTGTGGGGCACTGGGATTGGAGGAAGATTCATCAACCATCTGCATTATGCAGATGACACAACCCTGCTTACCAAAAGTAAAGAGGACATGAAATGCTTGCTGTAGAAGATCAAGGACTGCAGCCTTCAATAGTGACTACATGTCAATAACAAAAATCCTCCCCACTGGACCAATAGGCATCATCATGACAGATAAAGACCGAAGCTGTCAACAATTTCATCTTTCTTGGCTCCACAATCAACACTCTTGGCACTTGTAGTCAAGAAATCAAGACGTATTGCATTGGGTACAACTGCTAGCAAAGATGTCTCTAAGATGCTAAGGATACGTGATGTCAGTTTAAAGACTAAGCTTCATCTGATTGAAGCCATGGGTTCTTCAATTACTTAGCATGCATCTCAAAGTGAGACAACAGTTAAGCAACACAGAAGAATCAATGCCTTCGAGTTGTGGTGTTGGAATAGTGAGTATCTTATTGACTGCCAAAACAGCATGTATGTCTTCATCTCTGATATTTTAGGCATGTCGTTAGAAGAGTCTTTAGGAAAGGTGCTCAGCAAGAGAGTAAGACCCTCACCAAGAAGGAACGACAACGTAACTGTAGCAATGAGCTCAACTATATCAAAGATGATGAGGATGTCAAACAACAGGCAAGGTCCAGATCCACTGTTCAGAGGGTCACTATGAAGCCTAGTCAACTCAATGGCACTTAACATAAGACAAAGGGCAATCAAAGATAAGAGGTAAAACAGGACAGGGAAAAATACAAGAATGAAAATGAGGAACTAAAGAGGTTAGCAATGACATATAGTGGGGACTACAACCAATGTCATGGAATAATTCGTGTATGAATTATTGATTAGAAAAACTACCATGCTTAGTAAACTTTCACCTAAAGCCCAAAGAAATACTTCAAAAATAAATAGAAAACACTGGCAAACCAAGACTCAAGTATCCAAAATAAAAAACAGGCTGATTCAAAGTAAAAAAACTTCCCAAGTCTAGATACATTCAAGCACATACCAACTGGTCATCTTTCAGAAATAATTGATAATGTATTCTAAAGATCTAATCCTTTAAAACTACAAATAGTGAATTAATTACCATGAAAAGACTCAATAATGAATGGTCCTCTAGAATGCAAGAAGCTGGGAAGGTCTCTGGATCTGTCTTCCTGTTGGCTATATTCCATTTCCTAAAACAAACAGTATCTGGCATATAACGTGCTCAATAAATAAGTATTTGCTAAATATGAATGAGCTCTGGTAGTATACCATATTACATCTTATGCTGCTAATCAAACTTCAGAGGTTCAAATTCATTAGCTGCTCCTAAAGAGAAAGAGGAGTAATTTTTTCCTGTACAGATTTACAGCCTCACAAACTCACTGGAGGCTATCTATGAGCTACTGGCAACTTCACCGCAGTGGCTTGGTTTGGGTAAATATGAATAATCCTATCACCACTAAATGAAGCACCTCCATAAAGTTCCTATTAGCTAAAAAAACCTGGTAACCACAACTTTCTCTACTCTTAAAACTGTTACCACACTTAACATTGAGACCGAAGGTCCTAAAGCTCAGGGGGAAGAGTCAATAATGTGTTACACTGGTAAACAAAAGGGTTTGCATGTCCAGCAGTTTAAATCCACCAACAGATGGACAGGAGAAAGATCAGCTGTCTACTCCTATTAAGATTTACAGCCTAGGAAGCCTGACTATGAATCAGAACCAACAGGATAGCACTAAGGGGAAGATACAGTCCTGAAACTTAATTTCATTATTTTGAAAAGCAAATTCTATTACCACTAAAATACTATCACTCCAAGTAAAACATAAAACCTAAAATACTATCACTCCAAGTAAACATAAAATTTTAAAACGCTAAATTTGGTGAAATGACTTTTAAACAATACACACTGTTTAAGGCATCAACTACCTTTCAAAGTGTACTGCACACAGCAATATTAAAGAAACTTACACAGCTATGTAAATGTCAGCTTAAACGCAATTTCTACCCAGATCTCTACTCATATCTCAATTTCACAAACACTAGACTGACACTTCAAAAAGATCTTAAATTTTATAGGTACACGTCTAATGAGAATTCAACATAACCTAGACTTTGAGGTACTTAAAAGTCACATAGTTTCATTGAAAACAAAGATCAATAGGAAAAGAATAAACAATCCAAGTATCATCTTGTAATATTATTAAGGCCTAAAATTTTAATATAGAATGTAATACAGAATACTACAGCCTATAAAAAATTAAGTTCTTTTAATTCCCTCTGCTCAAACAAGTATTTCAACACATTATGTTTTTCCAAAAACAAAGATTTATAGTAATTCCACTAAATTATACATTTAAAAAATTTCTGAAAGTTCTAATTCTTAAAAATCTAGTTAACTTTAAATCAGGTAATTAGTTTCTAACAATGCAAGAATTCACTAAGACATTCACTTGCATAACACTGGATTACAACAACTATTTTATACTTTACAGTATTACTATATTTTATATTATTAGCAACATGATGTTCTCTGCCAACACAAGAGACTACAATATTGCCATACTGTTCTTTCTAAAATTATGATTTTCAGAGATCAGATAGAAAACTATCCCAGTTAAGAATATCACACAATTATTTTCTTGTCCTCAAATTCCTAAACAAGCTTTTACTTAAGTTTTTCTCATATTCTGAAAAAATAAACTTTACAGGAAGGCTGCTTTTCTTATCACTGAATTTTACGAAGCGTTGCAATCTATACCCAACTCTGACATCACAACGTTATTGTGATTCCCGTTTATGTCACTGCTCCAGTGCACTCCATTCTTCAATTTCCAACAACAAAACTTTTAAGTTTTCCAAATGAAAAGAAGTCATATCATCTTTAGGTTTACCCAAACCAGTTACATTTAAAAAGCAAAGGGAAGCTGAGAGAACTGTTAATGTGTGAACTCAACAAGTTAAAAAAATTTAAGCCTTCCTTAGAAACCTCTCCTCACACCTGCAAGAGGGGCTATGGACCCGTCGTTTTGTCTCCGCACCCCAAAAAGGCTCAGGCCCGCACGAGCGCCTCTCCCCACTTCACTCACTCCCTGTTGTCCAGCCAGAAATGACCCACAGCCGTGGGAGACTGCGCATCTTTCTTTCGCCGCTGAAGATTCGAACCCCCGGCCTCAGGGTTGGCAGCGCTGCTCCTCCCTCAACCACCAGGCCTCCCCGGTCTCAGGAGAGCCCCGTGTAAACCCCACCTCCAAGCCTCCGCCGGACACCGGGGTCAGCCGCGGCCAATCACCCCGTCCCCGCGAGGGCGCTGTGGTCAGCCGGGCCGGACCAGCACGACTCACCTGACGACCGGGCTGTAGGGACTCCGCGAGCGGCGCCAGCTGCTGCTGCTGTAGGGGCTGGGGGACACGTCGCCACCCCGCTCGTACGAGCTGTGGCGGCTGTAGCTGGGCGAGCGGCGGCGGCCGTAGGGGCTCGGGGAGCGCGCCGCGCGCCGGGAGTAGGGGCTCCCGCCACCTCCCGCCGGGCTGGGCGACTTGCGGCCGCGCAGACCCTGCGAGGCCCGGTGCGACACCGGGCTGTCGTCGCGGCCGCCCAGCGGGCTCGGCGAGCGCTGCCGCCGCCTGTAGGCCTTGGGCTCGGCCTTGTCCTCCCGGTAGGCCTTGGGCGGCTCCTTGTAGGCCGAAGGCGGCTCCTTGGACGACTTAGTCCGGCCTCGGTGGCCCTTCGGGTCCCGGTCCTTGCGGCCGCTGCTGCTGCTGGACGTGGCCGAGGCGCTCTTGCGGCGCCCGCTGCTGCTGCTGCTGCTGCCGCCGCTCTTGGCGGCGTCGGCGCGCTCGTCAGCGCC